TCAACACATTCTCCTTTCATGCGCTAGTTGCAGCTCTGCACGTGAAGTTGCCAAGAAACCCCCGTGCAGCTGCGCATGACGTTGGCTTCGATACTTAGAGGGGACGGATTAGAGTCAATGTCTGCCCCATATGGAGTAGCATGAACAGAATACTGAGAATCTATGAATTGCAAACCCCGAAGACACAAGAACTGAGAAACGGAGTAGATCAGAAGCCAGCCATCCTTTAAGCAACCGTATGAACTCCGTACTGAAGATTTTACCCAAACTGAATTATTGCTGGGCCCCTCATATTATTCAGAGCCCCTCATTGCTTGCGACTTTGCGCTACGACCAGGCTGACCCCATACGGCAAAGCCCAAATTCTAAGCCTCAATAGCCCAAAGTTTGTTGGAACCTATTTTAATCTGGACCTCACACATCTGCACGTAAATTACGTTTACTTGCCCTGTGTCCAAGTCACAATATCATTGAGCGCGTGGGCTTACCTGAAAAGTGTCCTTTACAGAGCTGGCGGGAGCAGAAGATATCACCCTTATGACTTCCACAACAATGACTTGAGCATAAGCGTCCCTGTGTGGCAGAGTGAGACAAGTATAGGCATTGCCGTTACGGGATTGGGTCTTCAAAGTACTTCACTGAGGATGGCAGTGCGAGTTTAAGATTCAGTCCGGTTTTGCGAGGGGTGGTGATACGAGAGCTTGGGCGGTGCCAGGAACAAGCCAAGCAGCTTCCGAAGCGCAACCCTCAAAAGTCAGGCGCAGGAAGCAACCCCCAGTCGGAATACTTGAGAGTAAGCTTGCTTGCTTGCTTGCTTGCTAGATGGCCTTTGCCTCGTGACAGAAATGTTCAGACGTCTACAGAACATACATCCGTCACATCCTCCAGATCGCCTAGACACATCAAATATCTAACGGACTCCATGATTAGTTGACCTTGCTTTGTCTAACACTGACTTCCTCTCCTGCTCCTGCCGGGCGTTTGTCAGCCGGGGGAAACACGCATGCCATTGTACAGGGCTTGGAAGTGTAGTTGCTACTGCCCCACTTGGAGCTTGATTGCAAAGCTACAGCCGCGCGTATTTTAGTCGGCAAACGTTGAGCCGATTTGCTCACACAAACTAACCAAAAACGGGTGGTTTCGATTGCCATTTGATTTTGAGAAAGATACGACCCATGGCTCGACGACCTTAAACTTGCCCAAGGACGAGCTGTATGGCCCCCATCTGTTCTTGGAAATGTGGCGTTATGGCGAAGTGTTTTGAGTCTATCAGCTGCTCATGGTCATAGTTTGCTCGAATGCTGCATCAAGTCCTCAGTCATGATGGTAGGAGGAACTCCAGGGAGCCCAAACACCACAAGCTATGATTTCAGAAGGCGGTAAAATTCTTCCGGAGCCTGCCAGCCTTAGATTGGAAGTCGTACAACTTGAGCCCTTAACCTGTCACCCTGACGCCAGAAACCTAGCTTTAGACCAACAAGCCTGGTATGCGCCCCATCCGGCCGTGCACGGACTTTCTGGACCGCAGCAGCCAGCATGTCTGCGTAAGGCGAAACCAAAAAACGGACTCCTCTTCAGGAGGCTGACTAGCGGCTGGACTGAGAGTTGACGTTTGCATTTTTCCAACCAGATGCTAAATGATGAAAGCGTCTATGTTCAGTTTCATCGCTTCTCACGTAACACGCCTGCGGATTCCTCCTGGGCACTACTTGCAGTAGTGGGCTCTACATCGTTGCAATTCAGCTGTCTGCTTGCGGCCGTTGAAGATGGCGAGTCTCACTCGCAGAAAGGGGGCACGGTTGCTTTCATCATTGACGCTGCCCGGTAGTAGCCATCCAGTGCAGATTAGACACACAGATGCTGATTCTCACGAAGGAGGAGGAAGAGAAACAAGTTGGAGAAGCATAAGTCTTAATTACACGTATATGTAGACAGGACAGTTTTGCAAGCCAACCAGCTGGGAGCACGAGGAAGGAGACCAACAAAGATTCAAGGTTCGTGCGCGTCGTGGCTGCTGCTTCCACGAGGATTTGTGGTGTTACTGTTGAGCTAATATATCGCCCCCGGACTAGATGGTCATCGTAGAGCCACCGGAAGATCAGCTCTGGCAAGCGGACCCACACAGGGAGGTTCCCATTGCGCCCCACAAGCTTGCTTGTTTACCTGCCCCAGAAGAGCATCAAGTTGGAGGCAAGCATTGCCAACAAACCTAGAGTTGAGACTTTATTTGTCAAAGTATACTTTCGCTTTGCATTCTTTTTGTCCAGCCGTTACTGCGGCTCTCAGTACTTACGTGTTGTCGTTGTAGAAGGAGTCTTGACTGAGGAGCTGCGGGTTCCGGCTGGGGATTGCGGATTTCGAGGGGGCCATGGTTGTGCACATCCGAAAGCAATCGAGTTTCCTGCCCATTGCCAGCCAAACCGATCAGATGGACCTCGACAAAGAAACTTTGTGGTAGCATGCCATTAGAACTCTTCAGCAGGCGCTTGGAGCAAGTCAAAGTCCACATGTTCGAAAAGACATCACGTTCAAAAACGTGCACTCACAACCATCGTCTACTAGTGCGAGCACCAGGCAGCTTAAAAAATCATAGCTCTACGTCCCCTGAACCGTCACCTGTAGGCTTTGCTTCTGATCAAGGCCCATCTGGTCGATCAGTGGTACAGAGGGTCTTGTAGCACCTTCATGACAAGCAAAGGAGATGCCCGTTCTCATACATTGGAGTAGTAATTGCTGAACGCAGACCTGCGGCTTGCGTCTGACAGGACCTCCAAACATCTCTAACCCCCAGGCTTCCATCTGCGAATCTAAATTACCGCGACTCATTTTGCACCATTGAAACCTCGTTTTTTTCTTGGAGCTTGGTGCAGGCATGAATTTATCCAAGATCCTTAGCCCTGCTAGCTTGAAACAGTAGGCCCTCTTGAATCTGAACCTGAACTTCCTCGCGGCTCCGGGCAGCATACAAGGCTTTTGCCTGGACAACCTCAATGAAGATTCCTCACCACAGGTGTGTAGAAAGTTACAGGTTCAGGAACATATGTCAAGTGGAATGCGCAGTAATGAGGACAAGAAAGTGCACATGTTCTGCAATTCGCCCTCGCTCCCAATAGAAAAGCTAGAAAATAAGTATATTATGGCCAAGTGCTGGGACAGCAAGCCCTTCGCCAACACTTGAACTGAACCAGGAACCCCTGAGCCCAACTTTCCAACATAAAGTTCCCCAACAGGGATTGCTCGAGAAGACCCTCGTAGCAGCCGTGGACTCGTTTCGGAGATTCTAGCTCTCATGGCTCAGCATCGAAAGTGTCCGAGAGAACTGCAATTCAACTTTCACACTGCCGGGTGCCTTTGTAAACTGGGAGGCTAGCTTTTGGGAAGGGCACACCACTGTCTATGATGCAGTAACTGATACATGAATGCATCGATTGACCTTCTTGGATGGTTAGGATGACTTAAGCCCTTAAGCTTTCAGCTTTGCCATGTTGGGAGCAAGAATCCAAGAAGCGACTTCTCTGTCTCATGTCAACTGTCTGGAGCTGAGGGAGCTCTTTTTGGCTGAGTGCGGCTGTCCTACAGTTTGGTGCTTTGAAGCCCCATGTGCTGGGCCCAACCCTTTAGAACCCACGCCTTTGTTGGTTCAAGACTTAGAACACTTCGGATCTGAAGCACGCACACCCACCAGTGGTGCATCTTCTGGGACACTCAATCCCGTCATGTGAATGTGTCGGCTGTAGACTTACACCAGTCATGGCCCTTCTGGATAAGGTGCAAAGCATGTGAGTGAGAGTACCCACGCCGGCGACACAAAGTCTTGACCATACGTCCCTAAAGCCCCATTGACCACGAGGTCCGTACCTAGAGATGTGAAGACGAGCCTTGCCTCGAACCCTAATCCCAACCCGCCCGGCAGTTTGATAGTCCACTGAAAGTTGAGCAGCCATGAGCTTGTTGCGCGTCTGCGCTCCCTCAGCCGCCGGAGTTGCAAAACTCCACCTGCACTCGACACCCCAAACCCTAAAGACCTACGTTACACCCTACCCTCCGAAGATGAAGTGCGGAGCCTCAACGCTAAGCTCTAAACGCAGTCAGGGGAGCAGCCAGGATGCCTGGAAATGATCTGCGTGTCTGTCGCGGACCCTGCTTATAAACAAAGTCTGAAATCCTGCAGCCTATCGTGGGTGCGCCTATCACACTTGTCTCAGATCAACTTGATAGTCATTGGTGCCTATCTACAGCTTCGCTAAAGGAAATGCCATGACCTGACCCAAGCCTTCAAGACCTTCAGCCAGGTTACCTTATACGTTGAATCCTTCGATAGCAGAGTCCAAGAGAAGTTGAATGTACGTGTCACACTTCGAAGACCCCTGGCCTCGTCGCATGCATGTTCCAAAAGAAACTGTTGCACGGTTTGGCATGGGACGCGGTTCAACGTTGCGGTTCAACTTTTGTGCGGGTCTTAGAGTCTTAGGTGAAACTTCCAGCGCAGACCTCATTGCTCTGCTGAGTTAATTTTGGTTCTGCCTCGTGCTGTCCCTGAGACGGAGACGCTCACAGCTGTTGATAGTTTATGTGTTCGATTCTAGAGAATCTGAACTTTTGAGCTCTGTTGTCTAAAGTCTCCAGGACTGATTCTTGTAAACGAGCTCATACTATAGGCCCTGGGTGTCTCCTTTGGACCTGTAACAGAGGGTTGGTTCTGCCACAAATCCCCCTTGCAAGAATTCCTCCCAAGCCCGCGACACAGGGTTTGAAATACAGGGCTGGGACAAAGTTTGTCAAAGGGCAACAAGGCCAGGGGTGTCGGCCCGCACCCCTATAGACCGAATGAGAAGCATCCTAGGAGTCCTGCATCAATTGCGTCGGATGGGTTTACCAGGGCCTGTGAGGTCGAATCCCAAGTATCCAGATCAGGTCCCCAACAAGGATGCAAATCACGAGGATACAGTTCCTCAGGGCATGCCGCACCGGATGAAAACCGACCTTGCCTGGCTGCGCAGGGGCAGTTCAACAACGACCGCATGGACGGAGAGGGCACGTATCACTTCTCAGACGGGTCGGGGCCTTTGTTGGTTTCCCACGCTCCGCGTGAAAAAGTTATCTTGAACGTGAACGAATTATCCAAGAATCAAACATGCTGGTGGAAAGAATGCCTTTGGCTCAGTAGTCTGTCGGTCAGACCTATTTGTTTGCACACCCGGAGTCACGGAAAGCAGAGCATAGGGAGTCAATAGCTACCATGCGGCTCTCTTACAAAAGGCCTGCGGCCCCTCGCTTCCACCCAGTGTACCCTGCGAAGCGGTAACGAGACCTCAAACCAGGAGCAGAAAGTGCAGGGCATTAATGTGAAGCCAGATTTGACACCACATGGAAAGATGCTAGCTACCCACCCAAATGCTGCTCCAACTGCTTGCTTGAAACCCTTTTCCAGTGCGGAGTTGGACCAGACACCTGGGCACTCTAAGGCCTAACTCGAAAGCGTCGGGCATGCAAAATGCTAAAGCGTAAGTGCCTTGCCTATGCCCCTCCTGGGCCAGATTTGTGTTTCATAGCAGCAGCCGTTTGATTTGCCTGTAAGCCATAACCTTCACCAAGAGAGCTTGAGCTCCCAGATTGCATCGAAGCGGTCTGCGCCAGGCGTGTGTACGTGGGCGCATGGCAGAAGGGTCACATGTCCGGGAAGGGCTCAATGACTTGGCCAGATGGCTGGAGCCCCAGGTCCATGTCATCATTGGATGAAACAGCTATGGCACCGGCTTTTGTGAGAGCAACTTGTACAAGTAAGAGGGTTTAGGCTTCAAGGTCTGCGACAGAAGAATAACCTAAAGCGTTGAACGATATGGCGCATTTGAGCATTCGTTCTCCTGTCAAGAGTCGCTTCCAATTCAAACCGATGAGCAGTTTGTAGTAGACGACCACAGCAGCATACTCAGAGATGCATACAGCCATGCCCGCAGATGCCCTGTAGTGAGAAGCAAGTGGAACCTTCTTTCGTTTGGCAATTGATCCAGGTTATGCCAAAACACACCATGAACAGCTTCTGGCTGGTCAACAGCTTTCGTTTTCGTCTCGTTCACTGTCCAGGAGAACCTAGAGCATCCTACAAACCCGACATCAAGACTTGAATCCTCAATGTCTAATGCTCTTAAGCTCTCCGGCCTGATCTTCAACCTGTAGTGCTCAATCAGTCACAGCCGCTAAGGCTCGCGATATGAGGGCGAGTACAAGAACGACTTCCGACATGGCCAGGGCACTCTTACCTGGCCGGACGGCCAGGGCCTTGATGTAGTGCGATGATCAAAACCAAATCCGCATGAGATGACAGTCAGAGTCCCCAGATAGAGATCTTCGCATTGGTTCTGGGAGATGGATTGTTCCCTCTGAGAAGAAAGCCTATGAGTTGGATTAGCCTCCGTGCTTTCCGGTGAGTTCTTCTTTGCTTGAGTACTCCAACTACTTGACGCTCAGAGCGCTGGCCTAAATTGGATCTCCATATAGTTAGACCGAAGGTACGGCCTTTCCATGCACCCCACGAAGTTTGCAGTCTGCTTGTGATTGTTTTGTTGTTTGGGACTTTTCTTCCACAGCTTTTGATGAAAGAGCTGCTCCGACAGAAGGCCATCCTCCCAAGACAGCTCCAGCAGCTGCATTTCAATGTCAGCATGCAACTGCCCATGGCAATTCCCGCAAGCCCCTCATTCTGTTTCAAGCTCGGAAAAAGCCTTGTCCGGTTCCTGGACCATGAGAAATTGCAATCTCCGAATCTAGTCCCTGGCAGAAACAAAATTGTTTGTTGGGGTTTTGATGCAACACAGTTCCACTGTGGTTCTCACATATCTCATTATCTGGCTGCTAGGCCGCAAGTACGAGGGCCAGTGGGCCAACGGCAAGCAGGACCGCAGCATGCTAGGAATATCCAACCCCAAATCCAGCGCATTCTAGCAGTTCAGTGGCTGCGCTCTGACTTGGAGATCCTCTCTGCCGTGTTTGCACTTGAGATCTTGAAAACCTCCTAAAGGGTCCTAAATGCTCCAGTGGGGTTCTCGTCTCTCTGAATTTTAGCCAGTCCTAGCGGCCGTAATTAAACTGGAGTGCAAAGGGGCATAAACGCAACTACCCTCAACCTTAACGCTAGCCTACAGATCTTCTTCTCCTTTCCCATTGCAGGTGGTGTAGGATGTGGGCCCCGTCCGCGAAGGAAGAAGGTAACTAACAGATGGAGTATTTGCAGCTCCGCAGGCTTCATTCAAATGGAGCTGTTTGTTGTTGATCTGAGATTCTTGGGGTTGGCTGTGGGCTATCTCAACATCTCATCTGCGCACACCATGACTCAAAAGCAACTGCGGCCAGTGATCCTTATGCGGGAGCTCACCTGCAGGATGGAGAAGGAGTCATGATCGACAGCTTGGGCCACTTGTCGATCTTAGGATGCTTAAGCTGTTTAAGCCCGGAAGCGAAAGGCGATCTCATACCACGCTAGTCCAGCACATGCATGTCTGTCTTTGCTAGTCAGGTGTAGTCCAGGCAAAATGGGCATCTTCAAACTTAGGGGTCATTCTGCTCTCCTTCTGGCTATCTGTGCATTGGCAGGGCTGGCATGGGCGGTTCCATTCATCAGTAGAGCTTTAGGTGAGCAGTGTAAATGCTGCTCGTAGAGCTCAATTCTGGTTGCTTTGAGGTTGCATTCTGGGCTACTGGCTATTCTAGAGTTCTAGAGTGGGACATATTAGGTGTGTCAACGCGTTTTTGGATTGGGCAGGGTGACTCTTTGCTGTATCGACCATTTCCTGAAAGTACTCCCATGTCCGTTCCCATCACGAACTTTTGAAGACATCTGCTTGTGAGTGAAGACCGTGGCGAGGGTCCGGTAATGTTTTGGAGGGTCAACAAGTCCAGATCAAGCGTTGAGGCAGTCAAGCTTGTGTGAATCCTGCCTCTCGAAATCTTCACCTTGTTCCCTGATGGAATTCTTGCGCCCCAAACTTGAACAAACTTCTGGCACACAGGCTTGGAGCAAAGTTTGGGGTTAAGATGGGCATGCTTGACATAAACAACAGGCCTGGGTAGATAACGTTTTGCAGTACTGTATGTTTGCTTCCACCGGTTGCGTGTTGCTGGAGACTCCATCTAACCTTTCAGGGAAGCACCTGCTACATCCCGAAGTATGCTGAGGGTCCAAGCAGCAAAGTCCAGAATGGCCGTCAAGAATCTCTATAGGAGTCAGGTAAAGAGGAGTTTCTAGGGCTACTCCCTCCTTGCCTCAAAGAGCGGTGTCTCAGGCCGTCTGTCCTGCTAAGCTGAAACAGCAGCACCGCGCCCTTTTCAGAGGGGTGTCCTCCAGGGGCCCTGATTTTCTCGCTAGACCGTGCAAGGCAACGCTACGAAGAGCCGCTGGCGCAACGGCTCGCCGATTGAGGCCTCTAGGAATCTCCTGAAAGCAGTTATTAAGGTCTAGAGGTTGCGAACTTAGGGTGTAGACCGTTGCAATCTGTTGCATGGAGTTGAGGGCTTAGCAGTTCGGGCGAGTTGAAGGCTTCCTTTTCTCCAGCTGGATGCATGCGAAGCCAAATGTAAGGTTTACCTGTGTGAGTGGTGTTTATGATGTTTCATATGAAGCGAGTTACGGCTACTTGATTCGTTGGAGGTGGGATTAAGTTTGCGCAGTCACGGAACGCCTCACACCTGTTTACTTGGCTCATGAATGTGGCCTTTAGGAGCTGGAGGGGCCTGCACGAGCCCGCTCCCTGAAGTTTCTGATTCTCAAATCTCCAGCAGAAAAGCCTGCCAAGCTACGATTGCCAAGCTAGCTGTTCATGTCACAAGACAACTGCCTCCCCGCAAGAATGGAGGCTCTCTAGCACAGGCAAACTTCTTCACGATTCGCGTGTGGCATGTTAATGGCGCCCAACACAGCTTGTGTGAGCTTTCACCAGGGACCTTAGCCTGTCAGTCCTTTCTTGAAAAAACGGTACAACGATTGTTCGTGCTTTGTGCCTTTGGTTGTTGATACACTGGGGCTTAGAAGTGGTAAGCAGACCGAGGCTTGGCTGTGTGTCAGAATTGGAAAGGACCTATCATTTGGCAAGTTTTGGCTGGGGAACCCCATACTCGCACTTGCATCGCCTGCTGCAGGATTGATTCAACACGAAGTGCCACCCTCAGCACCGTGCTGCGATGTGTTGGTGTCAAGGCTTTCGGGCTTCGGAATCTAGCCTTGTCTAGAACTAGTATGAGATCATTATCTAAGAAATCTTGTCTTGGTACAGCCACATAGGAGATGCAAGCCTGAGCCTCCAGAGCAAAAGGCCGTGCAATTTTGCAGTACCCTCAGCCCTCTGCCCGAGCCATACTAAGCCCATAAGCCATACCTTGCAAGCCCATGAAGAGTCAGCAGAGAATTTAGCTATGACGACAAGTAATGTCTGACTCCAAATTCCACTCAGAGGCACGCCTGGTTGGTCCCAGCTGAACATTGGATCTTTGTGCCAAGACTGACTGTTCTTGAAGTCCTGACGCTTCATCCAAACGCTCAAGACTCAAGCCTAAACCCTGCACATACGAACCAATAATCCTACAACCCTCCAGCAAGACTCAATCATATAGGGCCGAATGAAAGCGAACATCGGCTCTGCATCAAGGGTTGGCCTTTGCAACCTCAACAGCTTCAGAGACGAGGCCGAATATCCGAGCAATTAGAACAGATACTGTTGCTGCAAAGGGTGTTCGCGGTATGAATGGTAGGACTGGTAGGCAGGACGCTAAAATCTTCTGACTACACAAACTACAGAATGCAGTTAAGGCAGGGACATCAGTAGCCACAACTGCAAGGCTACAGGGCTTTGCTCCCTAAGGTTTGGGCACAGTCCACAAACACACACATACCTAGTAGTCCCAGGTTCCGAGTTGGAGCCAGAATGATCCAAAGGTTGCGGCGAGATTGTTTTGATTGTTTCATGACTGTAAAGCCGTAAGATTCATAGATTACCCTTCCGTTTGCGGCTCACCCGTAGAAAGGACCGCTCAACGGGCTTCTAGGCAGTGCTTCTGTAAGCAGACGCGAACATGGCGGATCAAAATTGGTGTTAGGTCAAAGCTTCTCTGCAAGTCCGGGCCCCCTGGTGCTTCCATGTCTTAGTGTCTTTAAGCTGTCATGGGCAATAGCCCATACAGATCTGTCCTCACGTTGAAGGACAGCATCTGATCATTGCTACAAAAGGAAAATGCTTGATTTAAAAAGATGGGACCACTCTGAGGTAGTGACTGGAACCTGGCTAGGTGCCCTGCTTGCAACAAAGCCTTACGCAGCTCTGCCAGCCTTGTGGAACCCGCTTTGTCAACTTGTCAGGCTGATGTCTCACCCAGCCGAAGGCGGTGGTCATGGCTGCCCGCTGCCGATCACACACGGGGGGGCTGCAGGAAGAAAGCAAAGGGTCGCTAGCTTGAGGGACCGCACGCGCAGCCTAAAGGCTTCGAGTTTAGGATGTTGAGCCGCTGGCACCTGGGTACTTGCTCAGTTTAGAACTTCAGGCTTGCGACCTCAGGGTCTACTACAGAGCGTTCCTGATGGTGCTGCTGATGTGTTTGAGAGGAACTAGTTAGGGCCCCAACTTGGAATTTAGCCTCCCACCCACGTCGCAGCACATGTCGGTCACTGATGTTTGTTGGCGGTATGTGTTCCCTCCCCAAGCCCGTGTCTGTCTCCAGGAGGTTGCACATTGCAACTCATGACTCCACATCACTTTCTGGGGTTGGAGCTTACGAGAGGATGGCCATGGGTTCCAGAGCTCTAGGTTCGGCGTTTAGCTCCCTGGAGGGTTGACAATATCTGGAAGATATTATGATGTACAGTTGCCATCACTCCCTTCATGTCAAAGTGACTAGGTCGTGATCCTGTTAAAGTGCAGATTCTTCCTTGAGCCTGCTCTGCTAGTGGTAAGCTTTATGTACGCGCAGTCACAGAGTCACATTTCTTTGGCTTCGAGATGTCTACAGCTTGGCGCCCTTGAGTATCTAGTCGGTTACGCTGTCTGTGGTGACTTTTGTAATTCTAGGTTTACTGCAAGGGAGCATCTGGAAGCTGAAATTACGTGCCTTGATTGGGAGGCAAGTTTGCTAAAAGCCATGTGTCTGATGCACTCGGCAGCTCCTTGAACGGAAGACCATTATCCAAAGCTTCTCCTTGCCGGGATGGCCAAAGGAGCGCAATCAGCCTTCTAAGCACATAGACTTCCGTACTGCAAATAAGACCCCCACTTCCGCGCAGACATTTTCATTGCTTAGATCCTCTCGGAGTCTCAGACGTTCAGAATATGAAGGTGCTGTTGGGGCCACGGGAGAGCTGTGACTGTGACAACTACTGACGCAACTACCTGCCTGCGAAAGCATCAGCTGGTTCGGCTATTTAAGCTATTTCTGTGCGAGGCACGTTTGAAATCACCTGAGACAGTAACTGTTAAATCATTTCTGAAGAGGGCGCGCCCAGAACTTCAACGCATGCTAACTTTGTCGCAAGCAGGGTTCCATGTGCTAAAAGCAAGCGCCCACCCAAACGGACTCCCATATGTTTGAAGATGAACATCATATGCGTCTGGAGGGCATGCCCCATCATCAAAACTTTCAGTCTTCTTGGCGGAACCTCAACCGAAGGTGGCTCAATATCCTCGGTATAACAAATATTTCACGGTCACATGGTTTGCACGCAGAGGTACGTAACTGCGCACTTCAGGGCGGACAGTGAATTGCTTAAGGCCACTTGAGCTGGGACAAAAACCCGGGTCTGTACACTTTGTATAAAACTGATGAAAATGAGACAATGGATTGGCGTGTGCAGATCATGGGAAAAGGATAAGAGTAAATAAAACGATAGTGTAGTAGTTTATGTTATTTGGTGGGAA